AGAAATACATTCGAAAGGTCCCATGAAATGTATCCTTCTTTTAAAAAAGACAAATAAAATAACATATAAAAAATTCAAAAAGTACAAAAGCTGTTTTACAAAAGTTACCAAAGAATTCTCCTAAATGGCACCTGGCCCCAGTGGATTAACAGGAGGATTTTTCAGACTTTTCAAAAAGCTATGTAAATGGTCCCAGGGCAATAATCATTCTATAAGACAGCCTTGGTCCTAATAAATCATGCATGAGAATTCTGAATAAAATACCAAGGAAGAAAGTATGTATTGTTGAGAATCTGCTGTGTATTCCTATATTAGATTAAGTAAAAAGAGCAAGAACGTGGTCCCTGCCATCAGGAAGCTCATTGTCTAGTTGGAAGAAAGCAAGACTCTTTATAAGCCTTAGGAGGAAGAGACAGAAATTAAAGTTGTCCAGTTGTTACATGAGAGGAATTTACATTTTAGCTGAGAACTTGTGTCCCACAGACTCAGAGAAGGGAAAAGCACTTTCACCCTGGGAGAAGTACGAATCATGGAAGACTCCCTGGAGGAAGTGTCCTTTGAGCAAGGCTTTGAAGGAAAGTTTTGGTGGTGAAAAGCTTGAGCATTGGCATCAAGTAAAGCTGGGATTAAATCCCAGCTTGCCAATTTCCTTGAGCAAATGACCACCCCTCCCCGGGCCTCAGCTCATAAAAAAAAGCATCTCGCCCTACCTCCCTTACTTTAAAGGAGAAACCATGTGAAATTCTGTCCTGAGTAATACTCCATACCCTGGTAGGACTGCCATGTGATTGAAAAGACTGGCCGACCAGGGGTGTGGTAGTTCAGACAGGTAGATCCCATATGGCCGCCTGCATGGTTAGAATCCTGACACGGCGGCTTCAATAACACCCTGGGCTCCTGCGCATGCATGCCCCAAATCCTAAGAATGGAGGAGAAGGGACTGCGATGTGGCCTAGGGGATGTCTTCTAAAATGTCCACTCTTTCTCTCTCTCCCTCTCTCTGTCTCTCTCCAGTGAGAGTATGCACCCTATGGCAAAATTTATTTTTTTAATTAAAAATTTTTAAAAAATAAACCAAAGAGCTGAGCAGGAAGCAGGGCTGTGGCACAGAAGTAGAACACGATGCTCTCGAGGCTGTCCCATACAGGAAGGATCCCAGTTCAAGTCCAGAGACCTCCTCAGATACGCCAGCCCACGCTTACTGATGACCTGAGGTGTCTGGGACTGGAGGTGGGTCATGGCTCCAAACCCGGGGGTGGGGAGGTCAGCCCTGTAACCTCGTAGTTAGACCCAGATCCCACATGACCACTGCTGTTCAAATCCACACCCTAGCAGCTTAAAAAACACACCAGGGGGACCAGCAGATGGTATAATGGCTTCGTCACTGGACTCCCACATAGTCGACCGCAGTTTGAGTCCCGGAGCCGGTGGCTTAAACTCACGCCAGGTGCATGTGCATGCGTGCCCAAGATCCCAAGAGGAGAATAGAGGAAAAGGGATTGTGGTGTGGCCATCTCCCCCACGGGGTGATCTCTTGCTTTCTGTCTCTCTCTGTCTTTCTGGCAAGCACATATGCCCTATAGCAAAAACCCCTCAAAAAGGAAAAAACAAACAAACAAACAAACAAACAAAAAAACCCACCAGGCATGTGTGGATGCATGCCAAAATATTGACAGGATGGAGAAATAGAGAAGGGATTGTGACATGACCATATCCCAGTGAGGGGTTTTCTCTCTCTCTCTGTCTCTCTCTCTCTGTCTTTCTCTCTTTCTTTCTGGCAATAATGGGAAAAAATCCTGTCAGGTTGTTATTTGTGTGTCTCTCTGCCTTTCTCACCATGGAAAAAGCAGACAAAACCTGAGCAGGTGCAATTCCAGAGCAGGTTCCAGGCCGTCTGGTCTAAGAGAACTTGGGCAGGGGTGGGCATGTCCTGCCTGAGCTGTCCCATGCGACAGCCCAACCCCCTGTGGCTACCGAGCCCTTGCATGGCAGCCCGTGCCTAAGAAACTAATTTTACGTGTGAGTTCATTTTTAAGCAGCTATCGATCCCCGAACTGGACAGCATACATCAGAGGACCGTTCCAGGGAGTGGTATCGGATCGAGAAAGGGTCTGGAGACATGAAAATGACACAGCCCAGGGAGTTGTAATAGTCTCCTCTGGCCACGGTGACAAATTGCCACTGCCTGGTGATTTAAAATAATACAAATGGGGTTTGGCAGGTGGCTTGGTGGTTAAGGTGCTAGACTTCCACATGGGCAACGGCAGTTCAAGTCCCAGATCTGGTGGCTCGCTTTCTCCCTCTCTCACCCTCCCTCTCTCTCTTTCTAGTCCAGTTGAAGAAGAATTGATAAAATTAAATAAATAAATGCTTTTAAAAATATACAAGTGGATTTTCTTAAGGTTTTGAAGATCATGAGTGTAAAATTCGAGGCCGGGACAAGGCCGTGTTTCTTCTGGCCGCTCTGCAAGACATTCCTGTCCTTGCCCTGCCCAGTTTCGGGGCACTTCATGGCTCTCCCCTCTGCTTCCGGCATGGTGTCTCCTGCCGCCGCCGCTGGCTCTCTGCCTTTCTCACCATGGAAAAAGCAGACAAAACCTGAGCAGGTGCAATTCCAGAGCAGGTTCCAGGCCGTCTGGTCTAAGAGAACTTGGGCAGGGGTGGGCATGTCCTGCCTGAGCTGTCCCATGCGACAGCCCAACCCCCTGTGGCTACCGAGCCCTTGCATGGCAGCCCGTGCCTAAGAAACTAATTTTACGTGTGAGTTCATTTTTAAGCAGCTATCGATCCCCGAACTGGACAGCATACATCAGAGGACCGTTCCAGGGAGTGGTATCGGATCGAGAAAGGGTCTGGAGACATGAAAATGACACAGCCCAGGGAGTTGTAATAGTCTCCTCTGGCCACGGTGACAAATTGCCACTGCCTGGTGATTTAAAATAATACAAATGGGGTTTGGCAGGTGGCTTGGTGGTTAAGGTGCTAGACTTCCACATGGGCAACGGCAGTTCAAGTCCCAGATCTGGTGGCTCGCTTTCTCCCTCTCTCACCCTCCCTCTCTCTCTTTCTAGTCCAGTTGAAGAAGAATTGATAAAATTAAATAAATAAATGCTTTTAAAAATATACAAGTGGATTTTCTTAAGGTTTTGAAGATCATGAGTGTAAAATTCGAGGCCGGGACAAGGCCGTGTTTCTTCTGGCCGCTCTGCAAGACATTCCTGTCCTTGCCCTGCCCAGTTTCGGGGCACTTCATGGCTCTCCCCTCTGCTTCCGGCATGGTGTCTCCTGCCGCCGCCGCTGACTCTCTTGCCACCCTCTCAGAAGGCCCCGGAGGTCACACTGGGATGACCCGCCCGGCCCAGGCTCACCTGCCCAGGCTCACCTGCCCATCCTGAAATCTTCACCTTACCCACGTCTGCTGAGTCCTCTTTGCCGAGTGAGGCCACGCTCACAGGTTCCGACTAGGACGTGGGCATTATTGGTAGCCATTGTTCTGCCTGCCACCGAGTCTGAGAAGCTGGAGAGAAACTGCGTCCAGCGGAGGAGAGGAGCCCTGAAGGCCGAGTCAAGGCGCTCAAGCACAGCGGGTCCTCCAAAACAGAGCCGGAACTGCCAGCCTCTCAGCACCTCGGCTCCCTCACGCCCATCCGACCACCCGACCATCTGCGTGGCTCTCACGGCTCGCTTATTCTACCGCAGTAGCTTCCCGCAGGGTCCTGCCTCCCCCTTCCCACGTCTAGTCCCCGTCCGCAACCAGAGAGCAGATTACAGCTTAAGTCAGATCGAGACTCGCCTCTGCTCAGAACACACGCCAAAATTACAGCGTGCCCGGCTCAGTTCCAATTTCAGGTAAGCCACAGATCATTTCTCAGTCTAAATACGTCCCAAATATTGCATAGGACATACTTAGACACTAAAAACATGCTCTAGTGTTGTTTATCTAAAACTCAATTGCTTTTTTTTTTTTTTAGGTTTTGGCCAGAGGACATGTACACTTGCTGCAAAGAGAGAGAGAGAAAATGAGAAATCACTCCCCCAAGGAGCGACAGCCGCACCACACAACCCTTTTTCTCCCATTCTCTTCTCAGGATTTTGGACATGCATGCACACACACCCTTCGTGCAGTTCAAGCTGCCAGGCCCAGGACTTGAACCGCAGTCAGCCATGTGGGGGCCCAGTGCCTTAACCACCACACCACTTGCAGGCCTAAAATTCAATTTTTACCTGGGAAGTCCCTGCTTGTTCGGGTCGCCGTATCTCAGGATCCTCCCATGGAACCCCAGCTGGCTTTCCAAGTCTGCCCACCCCACGACCTCCGTCTGCATCCCCCTGCGCCCGCCCCCTTCCACTCTGCTCCGTGCCCAGCAGCCTCGTCACTGTCCTGGAATACGCCAAGTTCTTTCTGCCTCAGAGCCCTTGCGCTTGCTGTTCCCTTGGCTCTGAACCCTTCACCCAGATTTAAGCATGACTCACCCTCCCTTCTTCAGGTTTTGCCTCAAATATCTTCTCCTGGGGACCTCGCCTGGCTCAAGCACGCTCCTGCCCACAGCCTTCTCTGTCCCCGGGGGTTTCTGAGCCCTGAGCACCACATGATGAGCCCCATGGCCCCTCGTTTGCTTGCTTATTGTGTCTTCGTGCCCTACAGCGTCAGCTCCCTGAGGACAGGGTTGCATCTGTTTCGGTCACTGCTATGTTTATAGTGCCTATTACAGGGCCTTGCCCATAGCAGGTGAATAACAGGTGTTTGTGGGACCAGCAGTTAGCGTAATGGCTATGTCGCTGGACTCCCACGTAGTCGACTGCGGTTCACATCCCAGACCCGGTGGCTTAAACTCATGCCGGGCACGTGTGCGTGCGTGCCCAAGATCCCAAGAGGAGACTGGAGGAGAAGGGATTGCGGCGTGGCCACCCCCCCTGGGGGGTGATTTCTCACTTTCTGTCTCTCTCTGTCTGGCGAGCGCACGTGCCCTATAGCAAAAACCTCTCCAAAAAATAAAAAATAAAAAAAGAACAGGTGTTTGTTGAATGAAGGAAGGAATAAAATGAAGACATCAATGAGCCCCTGGATCCAGCAGTGCCTGAAGCCGGCTGTGAGATAGGACAAGAGGATGGAAACCACTGTCCTCTAGCCTACACCTCCATTTCAGACACCAGGTCGTGGCTAGTGGATTTCTTGCTGACCCCAGTTTCATCCTTGCTCGGGGATTCCCGCAGGGCCCAGTGACATGCAGCTGGCAGTGACCGACGGAGTTGAGCCCTCCCAAAATACAGGAAGAGCATGGGATTGAGGCAACTGTGAGCAAGAGCCAGGCCCACAACCAGGGGCTCAACCCGCAGGGCCCGGGCCAGGAGCGCAGAGTTGGGGGCGGCTGCAGCAATGATCAGTGCTTGCAGGTGGTACGGGGCCCAGCAGACGAAAAACCCCGCCATGATGGCCGTGCCCAGTGGCCAGCCGTGTCGGGCAGCTCGGCATAGAAGGACACTGTGGCAGCTGGTCACCACCACCAGAGGCCCCAGGAAACCGAAAATAAACCGGCTGGCGGCCACTGCGCCCTCAGCCACGGCCAAGCCACCATAGTCCACCACGCACTCCAGCTGGGGTGGGAAGTGCTCCTGGTGTAGCCGGCGGTAGATGGCAGAGGGCACAGTCAGCAGCAAGGCCACCACCCAGGCTGCCCCACACGCCACCCACACCCGGCCAGCCCGCCCAGCCGCAGCCCCCCAGGTGGGCCTGAGGGCCAGCAGGCAGAGGTCGGCGCTCCGGGCTGCCAGCAGCAGGACGCCAGCATACATGGACAGCAAGATGACCGAGGGCAGCACCCTGCAGCCCACTGCCCCGAATGGCCAGTGGCCCCCGCGGACAATGGGTACTGCCAGGATCGGGAGAGAGAGACAGCAGAGCAAGTCTGCCACGGCCAGGTGGAGAAACCAGGTGGCACCCACCCTCTGCCGAGCCTCCTTCCCGGTCACCCAGGCCACGATGGCGTTGCCCGGCACACCCACCAGGAAGACAGTGGCGTACAGCAGGAGCGGGGCCACGCGCAGGGCGCCGGACGAGTGGCAGGAGCCGTCGAGGCAGTCCACGGGGATATCCTGCAGGTCACTGTAATCCCCATAGTCGTAGCTGAGGGATGTGTTCTCCATCCAGGCCCCAGACCTCTGGACAGGAGAGAAACCCGAGAACTCGGTGGAGAAAACCCCAAGTCTTCGAGGCTAGGCAACAGGAAGCCCAGCCGTGAGCATCCTGGAAACTAGAACTTTACACAGTCAAACTGCAGTGCCTTAGAATACTGGGGTTCGGGACCAGCAGTTAGCGTAATGGCTATGTCACTGAACTCCCATGTAGTCAACCGCGGTTCGAGTCTCGGACCTGGCGGCTTAAACTCACGCCGGGTGCGTGTATGTGCATGCCCACGATCCCGAGAGGAGAATGGAGGAGAAGGGATTGCGGCGTGCCCATCCCCCCTGGGGAGTGATTTCTGTTTCTCTGTCTCTCTGTCTCTCTGGCGAGCGCATGTGCCCAGTAGCAAACACCTCTCCCCCCAAAAAAGAATACTGGGATTCTACACTACTAACCTGCTAGAACTAGCTCATGAGCCCCTCGGAACTCCAGAACATTAGAATCAGAATATTCACAGCCTATTGGTTAAGGGAGCCAGAGCCACGGCCCACCAATGCAGCTGGGGCTCTGCCTGGGAGCAGAACACATGGGCTTGCTAGGCACACGTGTGCACATGCCTCAAACCCTGACAGCATGAGGAAACGAAGGGACTGCAGCCTCACCATGCCCCATTGAGAGGGTGCCATCTCCCTCTCTCTGTGTCTGTTTTTCTAGTCAGTGCAAGGGCCCTCTGGCAATTGAAAATATAAATAGGGCCAGCCAGTGGGGTGATACTTAAGGCAGCTGGATCTCACAGGGCTGACTACACGGTCTGAGTCTGACACAGAAGGCTGGGAAATGTTTGGATCACGTGTGCATGCCCAAAGTCTTGAAAGGAGGGAGAAATGGAGAAGGGACTGCAGCACGACCACTCCCCGTGGGTGGGGGAGGAGGTGCTTTCTCTTTCCTCTCCCCCTTCTCCGTCTCTCCAGCAAGTGCGCACACTCTCTGGCAAAATTATTAATCAGTTATTTTAAAGAATCAGAATATTATAATGCTAGAACTCCAGAATATCGGAATATTGGAATCGTAGAATGCTACGGTGTCGGGACCAGCAGTTAGTGTAATGGCTGTGTCATTGGACTCTCATGTAGTCGACCGCTGTTCGAGTCCCGGACCCAGTGGCTTAAACTCATGCCTGGCGCGTGTGTGTGCGTGCCCAAGATCCCGAGAGGAGAATGGAGGAGAAGGGATTGCGGCGTGGTCATCCCCCCTGGGAGGTGATTTCTCGCTTTCTGTCTCTCTGTCTCTCTCTGTCTTTCTGGCGAGCACCCTATAGCAAAAACCTCTCAAAAAAAAGAAAAAAGAAAAAAGAGTGCTACGGTGTTAGAACACTAGCTCATTAGCATCTCGGAATTTTAGAACATTACAGTGTTAGAGTTCTAGCATGACCGAAATCTTGGAGTTCTAGAATAGTAACCAATTAGAAGACCAGCTGGTGGCTGGTGGTGGTTACGGTGGCTGGACCCCACACGGCCGACTGTGTGGTTTGAGTCCTAGACCTGGCAACTTGAAACACATGTCAGGCACGCATGCGTGTGTGCCCAGAATCCGAAAAGGAAGAAGAGGTGAAGGAGAAGGGATTGCAGCATGACACTCCCTCTGCTCCCCTTAAAAAAACTTTCACTTTCTCTGTTTTTTTAATCTCTCTCTGGTGAGAGACAAACAAAAGCAAAAACAATTATTGCCCAGCCAGTCGCATCGGGGTCCCAGTGCAGCCCTGTGCTTGGGGTTTGAGCACCGGAGGGGGTGTGCTCTGCGGTTGCTGTCTGACGAGCCAGCCTGCGGCCATGTGAGGCCCCTGAGCCGCTGAAACATGGCGAGAATGACTGAGGAACTGAATTTCTGACTTGACTTCATTTTACCTGATTTAAACAGCTACCCATGGCTGGTGGAGCCATGCCACAGTGGGCAGTGAAGTTCAAGAGCATTAAAATATTAGAGCACCAACCATTAGCAACCTGAATTCTAAAATTCACAATATTGGAATCTGGGGGTCAGGCGGTGGCACAACTGCAATGCAACTGGACCCCCGGGGGAGGTTCTGGGTTCGTGTCCTGGGACCTCCTTACACATCCAAGCACCCATGTGCCATCTCCCTTTGGGGTTGATTTCTCACTTCCCTCTCACTCTCTGTTGCTCTCCGGTGAGCGAACACATTCTATGGCAAAAATCTGTCTAAAAATGAAAAGAGGGGCCTGCAGCTGGCATGGTGGTTAGGGGTGCTGCATTCCCACATGGCTGACCATGGTTTGAGTCCCAGACCTGGTGGCTGCTTTCTCACTTTCCCTTTCTCTGTCTCTCTCTGTTCAAATTTAAAAAAATAATAATAATAACAAATGGAATTAAATACGTAAATACCTAGAAAAAAGAAAAAGAAAGAAAGAAAGAAAAAAACACTCTTGGTGCATGCGCACGTGTGCCCAAAGTCTTGAGAGGGCAACGGGGAATGGGTCCTGGCTGAGGCGGGGGGTGGATTGTGTCATGAAGGCCCTGCTGGCTGTCCCTCTCCCATGGAAGAATGAACTAAATAAAATTTTGTTTAATTTATTGCCAGAAGGCATGTGAGCTCACCAGAGAGAAACAGAGAGGGAGAGGGAGCAAGCGATCCCCAGTGGAGAGTGGTCACACCACAATCCCCTCCCCTACGTTACTCCATCCTGTTGGGTTTTTAATTTTTTGAATTGAAGGTAATTTATCCATTCAACACAGTCCCTGAGCCCCCTTTTCTGTTCCAGGGGCTGTTTCAAACACTGAGACACAGCAAGGGGCAAGACAGACAAAAACTCATTCTTCTTGAGTTTACATTTTTGGTGGGAGGAGTCAGGCAGTAAAGAAATAAACACACGAGGGGACCAGCAGGTGGCGTGGTGGTTAAGGCGCTAGACACTCCCACATGGCCGACCATAGTTTGAGTCCCGGACCTGGTAGCTTGAATTCTCATTTTCCTTCTCTCTCTCTCTCTCTCTCTCTCTCTCTCTCATCAAATTAAAATAAATGAATGAATAAATAAAATTAAATAAATACTTCTTTTTTAAAAAAAGAAATAAACACATGGGACCAGCAAATGGCATAATGGCTATATCGCTGGACTCCCAGGTAGTTGACGTGGTTCAAATCCTGGACCCGGTGGCTTAAACTCGTGCCAGGTGTGTGTGTGTGCATGCCCAAGATCCCGAGAGGAGAATGGAGGAGAAGGGATTGTGGTGTGGCCATTCCCCCTGGGGGTGATTTCTCGCTTTCTGTCTCTCTGTCTTTGTCTGTCTGGTGAGCACATGTGCCCTATAGCAAAAACCTCTCCAAAAGAAAGAAAGAAAGAAACACGCAAAATACACAGTATTTTAAAAAGTAGCCAATGCTATGGGGAAGAAAACCACATAAGGAAGATGGCTATTTTGTGTAAGTGGTCAGGAGGGCTTCACTGAGGAGGTGACATTTGTGCAAAAGCCTAAAGGAATTGTGGGAGGGAGCTGCGTGGCGACGTCAGGGAAGAGCATTCCAGGCAGAGTAGCCAGTGCCAAGACCCCGAGGCGAGAAGACGATGTTCACATTCGCGGAACAGCACGGAGGCCGGCATGGCTGCAATGAGCGAAGGGAGAAGGTGGGAGGTAAGCGCAGTTATCAGAGCATGCAGGCCACACGGGCATGTAAGGTTGTTATCTCGCACTGCAGCTGAGCTGGGAGCTGTGGAGGGTGCTGCGAGGCAGCGCGGCCTGCGGCAGTAGGAACCACCTTATTACCATTAGTACGAAGCCCCTTCAGTGAGTACTTTGTGTTAGGTGGCAAGCTTAGCTCCAGATAGCTTAACCCTCCGAATGACCCTGTGAGTTCAAAATAATTGTAGGTGTTTTAAAAAAAGAACTGTTGGGAACCAGCAGTTAGCGTAATGGCTGTGTCGTTGGACTCCCACGTAGTCGACCACGGTTCGCATCCCGGACCCGGTGGCTTAAAACTCACGCCGGGTGCGTGTGCGTGCGTGCCCAAGATCCCGAGAGGAGAATGGAGGAGAAGGGATTGCAGCGTGACTATCCCCCCTGGTGGTTATTTCTCGCTTTCTGTCTCTATGTCTCTCTCTGTCTGTCTGGTGAGCGCACACGCCCTATAGCGAAAACCTTTCCAAAAAGAAAAAAAAAAAGAATTGTTTATTTAATTCTATGTATTATTATTATTTCTTTTTCATTTGACCAGAGGGAGAAAGGGAAAGTGAGAAAGCAAGCCGCCCTGTCCAGGACTCTAACTGTGGGAGTTCAGCACCTTCACCACCATGCCACCTGCGGGCCCCGCGACACAACTGTTTTACACACTGTGCAGGTGAGGGAAACGAGGCACAGAGACGTTGAGCAACTTACCGAAGGTCACTCAGCTAAGCAGGTTTCTGCTAAGTTTCAAACGGAGCACGCGTGCCCTGGGATATGCCGAGGCCAAAATGTCGGGTCCCCGAGAGGCGGAAGGCAGTGAGCAGTGAGCAGCGCTGGCCGGAGACTCTCAGTTGCAGCTGGCTCTGGGCCTCGTCTGAGAAAGGAGTGGTAGAGATGAACCTACCTCACTGGTTTGGGAGGCCTCAAGCAGTTAACAAGGTGCGTGGCCCAGAGCAAGCGCTCAGGTAGGTGGAGCTGTGGGCAGGACAGGACCCAGGACTACACACACACACACACACACACACGCACACGCACACACACACATGCACACACACTGTCAGAGTGCCCTGCCCCGCAGCTCCCTCCTAACTTCTGGGCTGGCTGCTACTGCTGGTGTTGACACAACAGGAAGGACAGAGGGGAAATGGGGCACTCCCCTCTGTCCCCGCCACCCTGCCAGGTAGCAGCTAAGAGGCCAAGCCACTTGTTTTGTATGTACAGAGTTGGCACTCCGCATATTTTCATCCCTCCAGTAAATACAATGTGCGCATTCTTTAAAAATGTAAAATTCCAGGAGAAGAATGGAGACGGGATTGAGGTGTGACCACTCCCCCAGGGTGGGAGGGGGGTGGTTTCTCACTTTCCCTCTCACCCTCTGTCTCTAGCCAGCACGTGAGCACACGTGTCCTAAGGCAAAAGCCTTAAGGGAAAAAAGGTAACCCCTTGATAATTGGTGGCGTTCCTGTGTGTGAGGTGGGACCTCACCGGGAGGCTGCTGGTTCGTGCCCACAAACCTCCCTGGGGACATCGGGGATGTGTGTACCCGTGACCCAGGCTGGCAGGGGAGCACAGCTTTGGGTCTCTGCCGAAATATTGTCTCTCACTCTCTCTCTCTCACGTGGCTCTCTCTATCTTTTTTTTTTTTCCCAGTTCTTTTTGGTCATAGGGCTCATGCACTCACCTGAGAGAGATGGAGACAGAGAGAAGGAAAGTGAGAAATCGTCCCCAGGGGGATAGCCACGCCTCAATCCCGTCTCCATTCTTTTGGAATGTTGGGCATGCACACACACGCATCTGGTGTGATTTTCGAGCCACCAGGTCCAGACTCAAACTGTGTCGTCCATGTGGGATCCAGCACCTTAACCTCCATGTCACCTGCTGGCCCTTCACGCTTGGACTTTTAATGGGTGGAGTTTTTGTTTTTTTAAGAATTATTTCGGGACCAGCAGTTAGTGTAATGGCTATGTCACTTGACTCTCACGTAGTCGACCGCGGTTCGCGTCCCGGACCTGGTGGCTTAAAACTCATGCCGGG